AGGAGGCGGAGAGGAGGCGGCAGGCCCAGCTGGAGCAGGAGAGGAGGCAGAGAGAGGAGGCGGAGAGGAGGCGGCAGGCCCAGCTGGAGCAGGAGAGGAGGCAGAGAGAGGAGGCGGAGAGGAGGTGGAGAAATGAGCAGGAGAGGAGGCGGAGGGAGGAGGAGGAGAGGAGGTGGAGAAATGAGCAGGAGAGGAGGCGGAGAGAGGAGGAGGAGAGGAGGCGGCAGGCCCAGCTGGAACGAGAGAGGAGGATCCAGCAGCAGATCGACGAGGAGAACCAGGCCTCCCGCCATAAGCTGACACAGGCTTACCAGGACCTGCAGGAGGAGCAGAACCTCCAAACTCGGACGTTCCACCAGCAGCAGACGATCCTCCTGCACCAGCCGGTGGACGACCACACCGCTCAGATCGACAGAGACGAGGTACGCTCTCTATTTATTACTGATGACACACGGGGAGGGGAGAAGGTAGTTGGCATCTGTTACAAGAGTTCCAGTAGATGTTCAAAATGTCTTCAAGAACCAAAAATAAAAGAGTCTCAGTCATCTAGGTCATTGTATCCTAAGAGCTTCAGTGGAAGGCAACTGGACTTCATCTTAAGACTGGACTGGACTCAGAGTGAACTTCTCCTTTTGGTTATTCAAGTCGTTTTGGTAAATGTGGACTTCTCTTTTTGGTTCTTCAAGACAACCTTGACACCATGGTTTCTCTTTTTCTTTCTTTAAGATGTTCTTGAGAACGTCTTAAAGCTGGACTAGGACCGGACTTCTGCTTTTATTTTTCTGAGCTAGTTTGTTTTTAGCAGCCACTTTTTGAAAAGAAGTCATATGAATTGAACATTTATTTGTTCACATGGTCCTTACGGTTCTTAATGCAGAGCGTCCATGTCAGGTGGCACATGAATGCAATGAGAGTCGACTCAGTCGCCCGCACTGGAAAACTCACCTCACCGTGTAGCCTCAGTTCCTGTTGATATTTTTTAAATATCTTGAAAAGCAAGTGAAATTCACACACACCTGAGTTTTAGCTCGCACAACAGCCACAGCCCTTTTGGCCCCCGGTACCGGTCTACTGCTTCAGGAGACCTCCGAGCCAACCAGGCCCAGAAGGCCTCTTTCTTCAGCCTGACGGCCTCCTTCACTGCCGATTTCCACCAACGTGCTTTCAGGTTGCTCCTAACAGCTGCTTCTGCAATGGAAGCTTTGAACATGGCCCACTCAGGATGCAGGAGAAACTCTTTCGGAGGTGGGAGTTGAAAACCCCTCACACAGGGGCCTCCACCAGATGTTCCCAGTTCACCCTTATGACGCGTTTTTGTTTCCCAGGTCTTTCCAGCAGCCTTCAACCTGATCCAACTCACCACCAGGTGGTGATCATTTGACAACTGTGCTGAGTCTCACCTGAGTGTCCAAGACATACAGTGGCAGGTCTGATGACACAGCTACAGTCAATCATCCACCTTTGCCGTAAGGTGCTTTGGTACCAGGTACACTTTTGAGCCACCTTATGCTCGAACATGGTATTTGTTCTGGCCAGTTTGTGACTAGCACAGTAGTCCAATAACAGGCCACCACTCAGGTTCAGATCAGGCCATTTCTCCCAATTGTCCCCCTCCAGATTTCTCCATTTTCGCCCAACTGACTGTTGAAATCTGCCAGAAGAACTGTGTCCCTGGGCAGCATCCCTTCCAGGAACCACCCACAGACTCCAGGATGGCCGAGACCCCTGAATTGCTGTTCGATACATAAGCACATCAGTCCGAGTTTTCCCTCTACAACATGCCATCACAGAGAGGCGACCCTCTGGTTCACCAGCAAGAACTCCAACAAAGCAGCACTCAGCTGGGGGGAGGGGTTGTCAGTATTCCCACACCCACCCGGTGCCTCTCATCCTGGGCAACTCCGGAAAGGGTGAGAGTCCAACCCTTCTTCATGTGGAACTATATCTAGTTGGTTTCACTTTCACTTTCTGTACCAGCTCAGGTTCCTGCCCGACCAGTGACGTGACGTTCCCCCAACTGGTCTATGCCACCATGGCTTTTATGAATCGCTCTATGTCTGGTCCCTCCCCCAGGACCATTTTGCCTTGGGAGACCCTACCAGGGGCGAATTCCAAACAACAGATGATCTGTTCGAGGCAGCGCTCTTCAGCTGCTCCCTGTTATATATTAACTCTGATACTCTGGACTGCAGGCACAGCAGACTGCAGCCAAAACACAGGATTCATATGCAGCACAGATTCAAACATGTTAAACATCAATATTGTAATGAATTCTGTTCATGAAATTTCAGAAAGCCAAAGCTGTGATGTAGATCAATGTTGGTTAAATTATGCAGCCCTATGTGACATTATACATACAAAGTTTGTGTTTGGAATTGGTACTAATGTTATGCTCTTGTTTATGCTTATTTTTGTTCAGTTTGCTGATGTTGCTGAGAAATTTGAGGAGCTGTTGGATAAGTACCAAATCACGGAGGTTGAAACCGAAGAAAGTGACCTAGAAGAGAGGATGAAGACTCTCCAAAATGAGCTCACACAGAAATATTTCCAAGAGCACCAGATTCCCATTTGGTCACTGCTCGCTTTGGACCAGGCAACCAGATATGTAGACTTGTCTCTGACGGAGAGGCTCAGCGTCCTGGAGGCAGTGGTTAAGGTAACTGTGGAAGGCAGTTGCGGCTTCGAGGACGCTCAAGACAAGAAGCTTGAATTCCTCCTCAGTTTGCAAGAGCAGCTACATGTTGAGAATCCGACACTGGCCCAACAAGTTCTGGTAAATGTTCTGAACCTGACTCCACAGCTGGCCGCGACAGCAAAGGAGATCCTCAGTCACATCCTGTTCAACAAGATCTGGACACCAAAGGAAATCAAGCTTTTCATCGGGAGGGCCCTGAGCCACAATCAGGAGACAGTGACGGAGGTCCTTCACAGAGTTTGCACCTACAGCCTGAACTGCATTGTCGCCCTCACAGCTTTGAACGAGAGACGCCCGCTGGACTACATCCAGGACTGCATTTCCGATGAGATGGACAAAGATGTGGATGCTGTCCTGAGTGAAATGCAGGACAAAAACTACCCAGAGGATCTCCTGTGGCTGCTGGGAGATGTGCTGAGGTATATAGAAAAGGAACTGCCAATACACCAGAGTGTGGACATTAATTCGCAGATGATTTGTGAAGGTAAACGCAGGATCATGTCGCTTGATTTGTCTGCGCCTGACATCGATGTTCTGAAGAGAGTGCTGGTTGTAATGTCCATCGCAGTGAAAACGTGCACCACATTAACTACTTATGATGGAAGAGTTGAAGGCTACTTCCCGAGACTCTCTCAGCTGGCAGCGTTACTGCTGCTGCTGCTGCCACAGTTGGAAGACAAACGAGGCTGTCTCTTAGAAATCGGCACTGGGGAGGGCAAGACGTGCATCTTAGCCATGTTCGCCACCATCCAGGCCGCCAGAGGTGCAAAGGTGGACATCGTGACAAGCTCCCCTCTGCTTGCGATCCGTGATCAAGACGAGTGGAGTAAATTATTTGATATGTTTGGTGTGACGTCATCCATCGTGCCTCCACCAAATATGTATAACTGCTCTGCTGAGCATCAGGAGAAGATGATTAAGGATGCATACAGCAAGCAGGTGGTTTATGGAACTGTCGGTACATTCGCAGCAGATACACTAAGGCAGGAGTTTGAGAAGAAAACTACTCGAGGCTCAAGGAAGTTTGACTGTGTGATTGTGGACGAGGTGGACTACATGACGTTGGACAGTGGAGTCCAAGTGACATTTCTGTCTCACCAAGCCAACGGCTTGAGACACATTGAGCAGGTCCTAGCCAGTATCTGGGCCCTGATGTCCGCCTGCCGACCAATAGCACTGCTTGAGACGGGGGAGATCTGGTGGGGAACCAGGATCCAGCACTTTCACAAGGTCGCGCTGCAGGCTGTGATCGGCTCAGGGTCTGAGGACTTCTCAGCCAACGACATCCTGGTGATGGGAGTCCAGAAGGGGCTGTACTCTCAGCAGGACCTGGATGCATTAAACGACGCAGAGAGTCGGACAGACAGTGACGGCTCTGAAGATGCCAAGCGGGAAGCCATTGAGAAAATCATGGCCAACGTCGGGCCTGAAGAACAGTACCAGCTGCTGAGCGAACTCGGGATGATAACAGTAAACAGTGTGGTTGTAGATTATTACATACTGGAGAACAACCTGGCCAGACTATACAGGGAAGAGTCTCATGAAGACACGAACATCTGCATGCTTCTGCTGGAGAGAGGCCGAGCCTGCGAAATCATGTCCGAGGACTCACTAATCGAGGTGACGGTCGACAAACTAAAGTCCAGAATTAAATACTCCCATGACTGTAACCTGGACTCCTTGGAGGAATCTAAAGGATTCATTGTGATCCCGTCTTTCTTGGAGAAATACATCGAGAATCAGTTGCCAGTTTTTGCTGAGAACGCCTTAAAAGCCATCCAGATGACACGAGGAAGAGAGTACATGATTGACAAAGCCCCTGAAGCTGACAGAGTAGGCTCCAGTGATGCAGATAGTCACAAGTATGATGCCATAATTCCTGTGGACTTTCAGGCTAGTGGAGTGCTGGAGAAAAACCGGCGCTGGGGTGATGGCCTGCAACAGTTCCTGGAGATGAAGCACCAGCTAGCGATTTCGCCGTTGTCCAACGTGACGAATTACATGTCAAATGTCCACTTCTTCAAAAGGTACCTGANGCTATTAGTATGTGATAATAATTTAAAGTCATCCTGTCTTGTTTAAATTATCATTTATTATGTATGATAATTTAAGTACATACATGCAGATGTTTTGTATTTTGATACACAGTCATCCTGAAATGTATTCAAACCCTTCCTTTAAAGAACAGGCAAACATTCACAATAGTCACTCAAATAACTAGAAACTGGAAAAAGTAATAATAAATAAAAATTTGCTAAATTATAATTTAGTGAAATAAGGCATTGCTTTTGAATTGTGGCTGGAAAGAATAATTAGAAAAAAAAAAACAAAGCTGTCCCAGACAAATTAGAGCCCTTTGCTGATAAGCAGTAGACCAGATATCTGTCAACAGGTGCAGAAGTCTGATGGAGAGTTACAGAAAACACTTGATTGCAGTGATTGGCTTAAAGGGTTGTTTAACAAAATATTATATTAATATCATTAGTTCATGGGTCCCATCATGCTTGTTTGCTTGTTTTTTTTTTTTAATATTTCTGTTGAACCGCAATTCAAAAGCAATGTGATGATTTTCATTAAAATTTTATTATTATTACTTTAGTCAATTCCCACTTATTTCAGTGACAGCTGTTTTTTTTTCCTTCTTCAATGGGAGGGTATGAATACATCTGAGGACGACTGCATGTATGGTTGAATCTTTGACGTAATCTCTATTTATGATTCCCTAATTTCCACAATGACTTTAATCTGATTTGACAAGAATAATGTCTTTTATAAAAGTCAGTGTTGAAAAAAAACTCATCTATGTACCTTTTCTGTCTTGTACAGGAATAACCATTTAATCTTTTGAGAAGTTGCATCTGTAAAGGGAAACTACAGGCACATTCCCAACAAGCTGAAGACTGAAATATGAAGAATGTCATACTCAGCAAAAATGCACCGCTGCTAAACAACTATATGCACAAACATTTCAGCGTTAATCACCCTTCAGCATGAATGGATTACATTTAATTAGGAATTCGTCTGTGTATTAAAAGACGTCAGTCATTGTAGGAGTGACGACAGTCTCCAACTGTGTGCATTAAATTTGGCGCAGAATCTTCTTCTGGTTTACATTTAAACCCACAATGTGCTGCTCTTAATGGTTTCCATAATGTCCACGGTTCACTTCATGTCCGTGATCTCCGTTTTGACCTTTGTCACTCGTGGAATTTCTACAACATTCTCTAGCAGTCTGATAATGATTTTCAAAAGAGGCACTATCGGGAGGGAAAAGGGCAAAAATGATGTCTTATCCTTAATGGTTTTGTTGGAGAATAAGTGAGGAGAGGTCAGCTCTACTGGAAGCTAGCTTAAACACAAGCTTACGCATTATTCCTCGTTTAGATTCAGAACACGTCATGTGTTTAGCATCTGTGTCATTTATTGTGAGGACTGGCTGATGTTTAACATACAGACACTGTTAGATATTTGATTGAGAGCAAGACATGTTCACATTTACGATGAGATTGTGCTCTGGAGAGCTTACTTTGTTTTGTTTTTTTGGTTGGTAAAACCACAGAATGAAATGCTGCATCTGTTTACAGCTCAAGTTTCATTTGTTTATTTATTTCTCCTTTTCTTTATTGCACATAAAAGGCAATAACTCCTCTGGAAGGAGAACGAGCACAGCATGTAATTAAATGTTGCTTTCTCTTACTGTCATCTCATGTTAATTGAGGCACATTTATGGTACATTTGTCAGTGTTCTATTTAAACGGTGGTTAGAACCTGATCAGACGAGAGAATTATGTTGCCATTCACCAGAGATTAAAGCTGGTTTATGTTTAGTGCAGATGTGCGTAACGTGACTCAGCCATAAATGTGCACCACAATAAGCAAGTGAGAAGAATCAAGTTTGCAGTTTCACACATGCAGCTCTTTTAGCCGTTTTTATTATTTCTGTTGGGTCCAGAAAATCCATCGCCTTCCGAAATGACCCGTTCTTTACTCTGTCGACCGCATGGGCTTCGTTTATTCCTGTGAACTAACGCTTATTATTTATTAACCTTAAAGGATCCAGCTGACTTATCTATTTATAATCCGCTGCGTGACTTCTAACGGAAACTTTACCGGATGCGCCATCCTCAAGAAAAACACAAGTGCAGCACATATACACAGGGAAAGCACACTATCACACCCACACGTTGCCTTGAGCTCAGACGCACAGAGGAAAGGTCTATGATGTGGTGCATAAAAGGAAAGCGAGCAGCCCCAAGTGGCATGGACCTGTGCACCTGTCATTTCAATCCTGTTCCTCCTCTTGCGATGGTCTTCCCGGACCCTTCCGATTGTACCATCCATTAAGTCCTGAGGTCTGTATCCCCCGTGGGATGACAGGATGACCTGGTGGTTAGAGGCCGGCCCCATAAGTAAAGGGGCTACAGGTCTGAGCTGCCTGAGCCATCCACACCCATGTATCGAAGCTGACTTTGAGGTAGACGTTGAAGTATTGCTTACCTCCGTGGCGTGGCATCCTGCTGACCACGCACTGCTCCCCTTGTAGTGTTAAACTGTGTCCTGTGTTGACTTTGATGACAAGGCTTTACAGGAAATGTTCACTTTATGCAACTGCTTTCATTTTGAGTCTCTGCTGTGACTACTTGGACTTTTCTTATCTACTTTCCGGCCCAGTGGATTAGTCACAGAGTATCCCAGCTTTCCTTCTGTTCACGTTAATATTTCATTTCCAAATTAATCAAGGTAAAGCTGTGCTTTGTACTTGAAATACCCATAAAACAAAGAAACAGAATGCGGAGCTTTGGTTGTTTTGTACAAATTCGCCCGTTCTGTCCTGAACACATAAAACCAAAGCATTAAAAATAAATCCTTGTTGAATATGAACTAACTTTCTCCAGTTTTTGTGTACCTCCTATACCCTCAGTCTGGTCCACTTAATACTAACACTGTTGCAATTTTGTATTAAAAAAAAAAAAACACATAATCTATTGCATCTGGTCATAAATCTGATGCAGATGGGGACTCACGGGAGAAAGTGAGGAAGCAGCTTGTAATTTAGTGCAGAAGAGTGTTATCAGTTCCTACAACATCAGACACTTCCCCACACCAGCACTTTCTCTTGTACTTGAGAAAAGTGGTTGTGAAGTACAGTTAGTGGGTTTTTTTTTTTTGTTAAAGTGGAAAACAAATCTTTGGATTACAGAACATAGTGACTTGTATCAGCAGTGACCGGAGTGTATTACCCTTAAACTACAGAGCAGATAAAGTATTTAGTGAATTCTGCGAGGCCTCAGGTTAAGTGACAAAACAGCACAGTACCTTCCAAGGCCAACCCAGGCAGACACTTTACGCCTGCAGAACAGCCTTGACATACTCTTGAATGGTCTTTCATGCTCTTGAGCTCCATAACCTTCCCCCTCTCAGAATGCCTGAGGACGAAGGATAGTGTTTTATGTTAACAGCTTGGAGTTCAACTGTATGCCAGCTAAAAATCAAAAGACTCAGAATCAGAGCACGTGCAGTCCCCTCTGATATTGACTCAAAAAATTCTGGGTTCAAAAATGTAAGTTAGGATTTTGAAAATCATGAAGAAAGGCAGGATGAACGCAAAAGGAACAACCTGACGGATATGATGTTGCAGGCTCATTGTCCTTGGAACTCAGAAATAACAAAACACACACATTATAAATGGAAATTGCACAATTCCGTTTATAGTTGTGAAGATATAATCTATACATCTATATTTATACTATATTTATATCAAAAGGAAGTCCTCAAAATGGTCCCACTTTTTCAGGAAACCATCGACTTTGAACACAAATTACATTCAGGGTGTTTAAATGGGTATTTTTCTGATTGATGACAATGTGCCCGATAATATAATAAAGCTCATTTGCATATGAAATGCAACACATCATTTCTACAAGTCCACGATTCCTATCTGCTGCTTGAGTTAGCGCCACTGTCAGAGGAACAGCTGTAGGTTTTTGTCTCTTCATCACATCACAAATTAGAGCCTCAGTTCTGCACCAGGACTGAATTGGCTGAGCTGAGAAATAACCTAGAAAGTGTTGATACCTGCCATCAGATTGCTGCTGCTCAAATATACAGAAAGCAGCCAGTATCAGGACCACATGCTCTCGCCATGAAATAGACTGATAAGGTGAAGGTTATGATCTTTAATTGATTTCACTCCCATTTCACTCATGAAGGGAGATGTAGATGGAATCATTTTTTAAGCCTGGTGACATGGTGGAAAAGGAGATGTGCTAATATTTTCTGTGTGATCTGGGCATGTGGAATTAAATAGTTAGACCTGCATGGCAGAGAAACACCTCTTGGGGGGGAAAAAAAAAAAATATTGTTGGGTTGTCTTTTGGATCATTGCAGCTGTCAGCGGTGTAGAGCAGATATATATATAGCACGCCTGGCTAGAATAAACCTGTGCACTCCAACGTGACTTCAATATGTGCAGGTACCAAAAAATCAACGAGAGTATAATAGAAATGAACCATCAAACAAGAATCAGAACGCCTTTTGGGTTTTATTAGTGATGTTTCAATCAAACGTAGATCTTTCTCAGGCTTCTGTACTAGAGGTGAACCTGTGCTGCGTTCAAACACTGCTAATAACATTAACATGTCACTCAGGGAACTTTAAAGTTGCAGTAACTGTTTGACATCTGCGTGTCTGGTCAGCTGGTTTCTCCGAACTCCTCAAGGAGTTCGCTGCTAAATGTTTTATTAGTTCACCAGATAGTCGCTAACCAGTTTAAAGGCTAAGCTATCAGTTAAATGCAGAGTGGGCAGCTAAACAGAGAGGCTATAAAGCTCCATAGCACGGAGGTGAGCTGCCGGTTTGAGTGTTAATTCTCTGTCATCACAATGAATGGCCTCCTTCTCAGTGTCACCTTGTTTTCACGTTGTCATATTGTTATGTCATTATGACCACGCTCTGCCGTGATGCGATCCAAAGGCGTGAAGTGATATTATTTTGTCAGCTGCTGTTTCTAAGGTCAAGAAGTTTCACCACACTTGACGGTATCTTTCAACATATTATTGAAAAGGAAGCAACCTGTAACCCCCAGTATCCTCACGATCAGAAAAAATGACTAAACGCACGGGAATACAGTTGAATATCTCTCACAAGGTGAATGTGTTTTTGCACTATAAACCATCACAATACTTTTTTTTGGGATTAGAAAAATAACAAAGAAGTTATTCAGTTTTAAAGAGGGATTGCTTACAGTCCAAAACAAACAGAGCAGTGCAGCGAGGTTTGTTTCATGACATCTTTGTGGACAGCCTCATTACGCCTAATTCACCTCACAAACACAGTGCTTCATATTAAACGTTCTAAAAGGGGGGAGAAAAAAAAAAAATGCAGCGGTTGCCGCTTGCAGAGAGGCAACATGAACAGACTCTTTATACACCAGATGCACCCTCAAGTGAATAGGGACATAATCAGTGAGATGTCCCTCCCAACACACACTCTCTTTCAACTCCACCATCTGGCTGATGCTACAGGTGGTTCAGGGGAAGTCAAAATATTTCAACCATCTCATCTTTCCCCCCAAGCTGCGCCAGTCCTCATCTGTCACTGCTCTTTTTATTATCCGTCATTTTAACAATCATGACATAATTAGAGTAAATGTCAAATGTGCAACTTGCTGTTTTTGTTGTTGAGTAAAATACAAATAATTGTGTCTGAGCTCCCCCACGGGTGATGAACTGCATGAGAATTGACTTCTTCTTTTTTTTTCCATTTATTACTGGAGACAAAGTCCGGTCGAGACACTGCAGATAAGCAAATAACTGACGAGACCTGAATGTAAA